AGTTTAGAATGGTATATCTGTGAGAATAATCTGCAAAACTGTGATTTGACTGTGAAGACATTTTCCCAAATATCTACGAAACCAACAAACTTTCTAAATGTGTCTTTTTTTCTTTTACTCTGTTGCCCCATCTCAAAATAAATATGCATGTTATACATGTACAGACTCACATGCACAACCTCTTCACTCCTGAAGTCCGTGAGGCTGTCTCTAATCAAGGTTGAGTGCTCCTGAGACTGTTTCAAGTGTGTTGAGGACTGAAGACCACATGTATATTTAATGGGGCGACGTCTGCTGCTTATCAAAAAAAGTGTTTGAGAGGGATGATGATGAATGCATATGTCATGTTATTAATCAAATGGGGTCTGAAAATCCATCTAATCCTCTTCTACCTGTATGTCTATCATATATTTAATGATGTCGCCCACTAAGTGGAGAGCAGTAATTGTGAAGGTGTTGCACCTGTGCTGTGTAAAAAGTCACTCCAGCTGAAATGTGATGCCACTCTGGTCTCAATCCCTGGAAACATATGTACATTTCAATAATTACATTTATTTCAAAAATATTCAAAGGCCTTTCAAAAATGCATTTTGGCCCACAACTTAAACGAAATGCCATCAGGAAACATGCAGTATTAATAAACTCTACCTTGAGGCTGTACATAAATCTTCTTGCTCTCACATACCTGGAAGAAATGGTCAAGAAATAAATGTTAGACCCCTACTGGATATTAGTAGTATTGTAAGATGTGCGTTTCCAACCTTTTGACAAATTAATTTTCATGTCTTCACTGGTTCATGTTTACTGGACAAAATTAATAATACTGATTAATTATTACTTTATGTATTTGTACTCATTTTAGATATTAATATTACTTTATGAATGATTTTGCTTTTTCACATTTTTAATTCACTGATATTTTATAAGGTTTTGTGACCCTGGAAGCTCTGCAGGTGAAAATAAAACGAAATGTCAACCATTAGAATTTCTATTTTTATGATAATAGAGTTATCTATCCATGTTCAAAGTTCATGCCCTTGGCTAATGTAATAACAGAAAATATCTGCTGAAAAAAATCTCTGCAGCACAGCGAATCCATGATTTGCATAAATCAATACCAGTCAAAGAAAAAAAAAAACAATACAGCAGCACGAAGGTAATAAAAGAATAATATGTAAATGGCTGGCTAAGATAAAGTGGATAATTTCACACAGATGGAGGGGAAATTGGCTGGATGTTATCAGTCCTAGGAGAGGGAGACCCCTGGTGTGTGTGACAAAAACAGAGACATCCTGTTTGTCTTGACTTCCACATGTGTGTAATATGTGTCTGGGGTTTCATTGGAGGATAAAACATGGAAATAGTGATTTTAATGCTGTGCTATTACAGGATTGAAGGCAGGATATTGCATTTGTAGCCGTTAAATCCTTTTGTATTATTTATAGCACCAGCTAGTGCAGTAGTCATCTGTCTCTCTCCTTTTTTTCCTCTTCTCTAACCCATTAGAAAAATAAACACTGGCATTTTTATTACCTCATTTATCCTTTCGATGTGCCTATACTTTAAGTGTAATTAGGACATTCAAAGTTCAAAGTTTGGAGTTGGTAAGATTTTTTTTTTATTTGTTAGACTTCTCTTACGCTCACCTAAGCTGCATTTCTTTAACTGAAAACACAGTAAAAACAGTAATATTGTGCAAATTTAATGCAAAGCTGAATTATCAGCATCTTTACTCCTCATGATCCTTCAGAAATCATTCTAATATTCTGATTTGGTACTCAAGAAACATTTCTTATTATTATCAAATTTTAAAATAATTGCATGTCTAATATTTTTGTCAAAACTGTGATACATTTATTTCAGGATTCTTTTATGAAAAGAACGTTTAAAAAATAGCATGGATTTGAAATAGTAACATTATAAATATATTTACTATCAAGTTTGCACACTTTAATACATTAATCGTTGAATAAAAGTATTTATTTCTTTTTTTTAAATTCTTAGTGAGCTCAAACTTGTTTCTTTTTTGTCTTTTTTATTACAGCATTTACAAAAAAGTACCAAAAAGCACCACATCTCATGCACAATGGGACCACAACATTCTATCCTGTGCAACAAAAAGTCAATACTATCAATTGTGATTTCACATTACTCTTTACTGCACTCTGAACAGCAGTTCATTTACAGTACATGTATGGAAAGGGTTCTTGACAGCTGCTGAAAGTGTCAACAAGCTATAAAAACCCAGATCTGTAAACTCTTAACATTTCTTACCAAGAGCTCCTCGGCGCATCCTTTCAGTTTATCAGTGAACGCCACAGCAAACCTGAGTGTGACAGAGAGACAGAGATGAAGAAATTGAGTTGATATGTTTAACATGTAAAGAAACATGAAAAGTCAGATTTCAGAACTGGTTTGTGATAGCGAGGTTCGCCCCAGTGACTGTGTTCAAACGTTTTCATTTCACTGCAATTCCACACTTTCCCAGACATCAAAGCTGTCAGTGGCCGCCAAAAATCTGTAAATCAAACAAGTCAAGCCACGCAAATAAAAGCACCGCACTGCAATCCCTGAGTAACACTTATAATCAGGGTGATGAAGAGGAGAAAGATGAAGCTATGGTGGAGTTTTTTTAACATTAAAAAAAATCATTACAAATTATATTGTTTGTAATGTATATATCAGAAAATACTTATATTTTAAATGTGATCCTGGTGTTTCTCTGTTTTACTTTTCTCAAAACCTTAAATCTTTTTGTTCTCATTTTAATTACACTTTACATCCCAGATTTTCAATTTGGTTCTGGCTTTTGAAGCTCTCTGTATTTGTATTTTGTTAAGAAAAAAAAGTCATAAAGTTTGGACTATGTCTCTGTCTTGCTTTCAGGCCTCATCCTAAAGCTCCCTTTATTCAAACTCAAAACACACACACATACATAAGACATAAGGTCCTCTTTGATTTTTCGGGGGGATGTGCTAACAATGATTTTGAATAAAGAAAAAGCAGACAGAGTGTTATTTTTCCAAATTATAGCAACTAAACCCCAAGGGTTTCCTTACGTCTCCTCTTCATCATCCCCTGTCCCTCGTCTCTCTTTCAGGAGATGTGAAGGTTAGTCAGTAACGGCAGCAGCAGGGGGTCTTCTCTGGGAGATGCGTTTGAAGTGGAAGGCTCTTATCGTTCTTATGCTCCCAAGTGTCAATTATTCCCTTAAGACTGTCAAAAGGGTGTGAGTCTGCCTGTACTAATCAAACAGATCACATGAATCGATATCACCTGGCTAATGAATTGAAACCAAAGCTGGCAGGCTTTGGGTACAGATTCAGTCTATTTCAGATGAAAAAGGAAAAGAAATGTCACATAATACCTGATACTATCAACCTTTTTAGGCCAAATGCCTATTGTAGGATAAAAAGAGAAAGCAAAAACAGACGGACTATACACTGCTGTTCAAAATTTCCCTGAGTAACACTTATAATCAGGGTGATGAAGAGGAGAAAGATGTTCAAAATCTTAGGATCAGTGTAATATATAAAAAAAGAGCACATCAAAATTTAGATGTTACTATTTTTAGATGTTATAATGTATTTATTTAATCAAAAATACAGTAAAACAGTAATATTCTGAAATATTTTTACAATTTGAAATAACTGTTTTCTATTGAAATATATTTTTTAAAATAATTATTTCTTCCTGTGATGCAAAGCTGAATTTTCAGCATCATTACTCCAGTCTTCAGTGTCACACGATCCTTCAGAAATCATTCACAATATGCTTATCCAGACCACTTTATCCAGTACAGATTAGAAGACTAATTAAAGACTAATCTTAGAAGAAGAGATTAACAACATACTAGTAAGCTTATATAATCCTCTTTCATATTGTTCATGTACAATTAAAAATCCTTTACTCGCCCCTCACTCCAAAACTGCCCGACTTCTGTGGAGCACAAACTTTTTGAAGAATGATGACTCAAGAATTCAAGCTTCAAAAAGATGCAAAAGCACCTACAAGGCATCATAACTCGTCCATAAAACTAGTTTTCTGAAGCCATATGAGTTTTTATGTGAGAAACAGACAGATTACATTTTCAATTTCATGGAAAAGAACAACCAGTCCAGTACATTCTTTAAAGGGGTCATATGATGTGATTTCAAGTTTTCCTTTCTCTTTGGAGTGTTACAAGCTGATTGTGCATAGATAAGATCCCTGAAGTTGCAAAGACTAAAGTCTCAAAACCAAAGAGATATTCTTTATCAAAGTTAAGACTCTGCCACGCCCCCCTAAAACGGCTCGTTCTAACACGCCCCCACATATCTACCTCACTATGTGGAAATATTAGCATAATGCCGCCCAAATGTGCACGCAAAGAAAGAAGGCATGGTTTCAGTAACCGCAGTTAGTGTTGAAGCAGCCATGTCAGGGAGACGCTGTGTGATTCTAGGCGAAAGCAAAAGCACTTTATTTGGCCTTCAGAAAGTAGATGCATTTAGGAATCTTTAAGATCACTTACAACAGAACAGCAATGCATTCTATGGACGACCGTTTCGTGAACCTAGGAGAGGAGGTAATTCTGACTTTGCTATGACAATCTGGCGCTTCTGAATCAGCTACTGTTTTGTTATTAGTTTAAGTATTTGCTATTGACTGTTCAAATGAGGAGTTTTGCGCATCGTGTGTGTGTGTGTGCACGCGCGTGTGTGTAAGAGAGAGAGAGAGAGAGAGAGAGAGAGAGCGAGAGAGCGAGAAAGAGCGAGAGAGAGGGAGAAAGAGGGAGAGAGAGAAAGAGAGAGAGAGAGAGAGCGAGACACATCACAGTGGAGTCAGCTGTCTTAACCGTGGCTTGTGTACTGCAAACACATATTCATCACTGTGTCTGTCACGAGACTCTGTTCCCCTTTCGGGCTCTGTCTTTACATTTATGTTCAAAGCTGAAGCTCGCGATTATGGTAAGGGGCGTTACATTTCCGACGAGTGCTTGCGGTGTTCGGCCAATCACAATGCACTGGGTCAGCTGGCCAATCAGAGCAGACTGCGCTTGTCGGAAGGAGGGACTTTGTAGAAAACGAAGCGTTTGAGAGAGGCGGGGCATAGAGGACCTACAATAATGTACAGTATTTGAAAAATAATGTGTTTTTTGAACATTAAAGCATGTCAACATATTCTGTTACACCAAATACACAAAATAATGATCTTTAAAAAAGCATCATATGACCCCTTTAAAAAAAACAAAAAATAAATAATACAAAAGCAAATTAAATTAATTCTTAAAATAAATTAAACAAAGACTTTTGAATGAATGAATGAATGAATTAAATAAATAAATAAATAAATAGGTGCTAGAAATTGTTTTGAGCAGCAATGCTGTGGAAATTATTTTGTACGCCATGTCTGAATGCACAAGGGACTCCTAAACACATTCTACATACTCAATATACAAATATACAAAATGTAACAAAATATTCACGTTACAATAATAACAAAAGTGAAACAGGATCCATGACTTGTCCAATCAATTCTATTAACTATCTGCAAAAGAATATCTGAGAATTCATTTTTAAAACGTGTTATATTTGGCAAGATAAATTGACCACAATATTGCTGTAAGTTGTTTGGTTATAACTGAAGGTCAGTATATCTAACACTTTCTCTCACCCAGCGCTCTGTGTTTACACACAAACACACACATCAGCCCTCGCTCATATGCAGGTATTATTTGTGAAGTTGGACCGGGTGAGAGGTTCTTTCGTCGCTAATTCAGCAGAAGAGAATGTTGGTGTGAGTGGACTAAAGCTCAGGGAATCTGTACCCAGAGGAGGGGGGCCCTATCAAATGATTAGGCTCCTCAAACTAGCGTGACAGCCAGCTATTGTCCAGTAATACGCCTCGAAAGAACTCGCCAACGCCACATCTGCTTCGTCTGACACTAGCCATCTCCTTTCTCTTGTTCGCTCTCTCTTCGATTTTCACCCCATATGGTTGAAAACACAAAATGTAAAAAGACGCCCGAGTTCGCCCAGCGAAACCTCATCCACAGACCCTTCAATTAAAAATGCAAACCATCCATTAAATCTACTTTTCATTGAGTTTCAGTACAAATTTACAAAGTATAACAACCAACAAGTAAGGTATACGCAAAAAGTTAGATCTGCAATGTGTCAATCAAATGAATTTGTCCTTTGATGATCTGCATAAGCTCATTTAATATGGTTTACAGTTGAAATGTAAAACCATTTTTACTTTTTTAGTAATGCAGATGTCATAAATAAACTAGGTAATGTTTCTATTTCACAAACAAAAACTCATTTGGACTTCCCAACTGATATTGCAGGTGTATTTCTCCTGCAGAGAAAGAGAGCAAACAAGAGAAAGGGTGAAGAAGAAAGAGAGATTTTGAGATTTAATTAAAAGTGAAGAGTCATGCAAAGCAAGGCAACAACAATACTACAGCGAGGATAAAAGTTACGCCTTCTTTCTTTGCTTGAACATTTGGGCGGCGTTATGCAAATCTTCCCACATAGTGATGTAGATATGTGGGGGCGTGTTAGAACGAGCTGTTTTAGGTAGGCGTGGTTGACTCTTAACTTTTATAAAGAATATCTCTTTGGATTTGAGACTTTAGTCTTTGCAACTTTACAGATCTTCTTTATGCACCAAGAGCTTATAACACTCCAAAGAGAAAGAAAAAATTTAAATCGCATCATATGACCCCTTTAATTATTTCTGACTAGAGCAGAGAAGCAGGATAAGCGTCGGCTTTCATCAAAGACAGAGTCAATTTGACCTGGCCTTGCGCAGAACTTCCTCCATCACAGCTCGCTTGTGCTCATCTTTTACGTCCTCGTTGACATCCGTCCCTCCAAACACCACCCCAAACGGCACTCCAGCATCTGCAGAGAAATGAAATTTCACAACAAAGACATAAATCCCTTATTTCACTAATTCACCTCCTCTGAAGTTCAACTTTTAAATCCTTCGAGTGAGCAAAGTCTTTGAGGCATGAAACAGTGTGTTTATCTTGCCAGAGGGGAAAGTAGTCATCCATAGAGTGGACATTTCGGGCAATGACTCACAAGAATGCTGTATCTGAGGGTGGTGAGAGAGAAGTAGCCTTCAATCTGAACAAGACATTCTGTGAGTAAGGATGCACAATTTATCAGTCAACAGTCAGTTTTCTAAATTAACACCACAAATAGAGGAAGCTGACAATATATCATATGATAAAAAATCAGATGGTAATACCATGGTACTCTGGTATATACTATGATAATAAAATGATTACCATCTTCATATGCCATAATATTTCAAATAATATGGTGCATGGTACAAAAAAACAGTAATACCATGGTACTTTTTTGCACATGTGGAATTTCAGTCATGACATAAAAATACTTACTGGCTACAAATATGCATCTAAATATTAGGCATTGTTAATGAATTGAAAAAATAATAAACTGTAGGGGTGCATGAATGTTAAAATGACTGAAATCGATAAGCCAAGAATTATTAGTATACTGTATTACTTTTTGTGTGTAAGATCACGGCAAAGGTAATCTAAATGTTAAAGTAGGCAGAAATGAGCATGGACAATTAAATATCCAATATTAGTCGATACCAAAAATAAAATAAAACAATAATAATGGCTGATAACTGATATGGTATCAACCAGTGTGCCACCCCTAAATAAAATACTACTATAAAACTTATTGTTTAGTGTGCAAGTAGCTACTTGCCTTTTATCTACCACCAGTAAAGTCATAAATTGTTTGATAGAGCTCAATAGTGAAAAGTAACAATAATGAGACAAGATAGATGCATGTACAGTATGCGTGTGTGCAGGCTAGGCTCTGTGGTGCTCCACCTCAGTATAAAATCAATTACATCTACGAGATGCTCTCACTAATATGGTGAAACCAACATATGCATGTATTTTTAAGAGGCCGGGGACGTGTCACCTAAAAGAAGCCTGCCTCCTTTGAAAAGATGAATGGCCAGTGCAGCTTCGAACCGTGGCTCTTGCGTCATCAGGGACGACACATCAGAGGCAGATCTGAACTCTCTTGTATCACACAGTACACAAGTATGTCCTGCAGCC